ACGAGAAAATGAGAAATGTCACGTTTATGGTGGGTAAATGAGAAAAAACTTATTGTGTATTTTTTTGAAATCTTAAAATTGTGCATATGTGTTTAATAATAGTTAGATATTTTTCAAAGGCTTGGTGTGCCCTGTGTATGCACAGGTAGTTCATGCAACTCTATATACGAAATGTGAGTTATCTAAGGTTCAATGTTGTTCAATCTTGGTATCAATAAAAATCGTATTCAATTTTCATGCATGTAAAGCACATGACATGTATAGCATTATATACATATATAAATAGAATATATTTGACGACGCTCAATCCTGTATTTTGTAGACAAAGTTTGAACTGGTGGCCCTAGACAAAGTTTGAACTGGTGGCCCTGCACTGGCTCGAGAGGTGTTTGCACCTCCTTATTTGCCGCACTATTTTGTAGAGAAAATGATCACAGGGATCTGCTAAATACGTGCTAGGTAGCTGCTAAATAGTTGCTGAATACACGCTAAATGTCTGCCAAATAGTTGCTAAATAGTTACCTGTATTAAATAGCTGCTAAATAGCTTTAGTAGCCGCCAAATAGTTACTGAAATAGCTGCTAAATAGCTAAAAAACTGCTAAATAACCGCTAAATAGTTTCAAAGCTTCTAAATAGCTGCTCAATAGTTGCTAAATAGTTGCTAAATAGCTGCTAAATAGCTGCTAAATAGTTGCTAAATAGCTGCTCAATAGTTGCTACATAGTTGCTAAATAGCTGCTAAATAGCTGCTAAATAGTTGCTAAATAGCTTCTAAATGGTTTCTAAATAGTTGCTGAATAACTACTAAATAGGTGCAAAATAACTTCTAAATAGTTGCTGAATAATTGACAAATGGCTTCTAAATAGCTTCTAAATAGCTTCAAAATAGTTGGTAAATAGCTGCTGAATAAATGCTAAAGAATTGCCAAGTAGCTTCTGAATAGCTGCTAGATAGTTGCTAAATAGAACGAGGTGAATGGATTCATGTGACTTTGGAATATTCTAACAGCTGACGTATAATGTTGGATTATTCTAACTGCTAGCAGGTAGTCATACACTCATATACTATCTTTGTGTGGGATGTGAAATGTACAGTGTGTCAGTTTAGTTGACATGACACGTTTTGCATCTTTTAGAACCCAAACAATTGCAGAGGTCCCGTGTCATGTGATTTTATTTTGCGAGGCACTTTACAGATGACATGGGACTTATGCATTTTTCTGTTTTTTCACTTTACAGATGACATGGGAGTTTTCGTTTTTTGGGTATGTTCGACAACTCCCATGTCATCTGCAGGTACTATCATATACTTCGGACGTATGTATATGAGTAATTGACAAAATTATTGTAATACTAATTTTGTTTTTGCTTCGCCTTGGCCAGTCCGAGGGGTTGGAAACTACCCTTTCCATCCTTTTCCCCTGTGTAGAAGTAGTCGAGCTGGCCAGTGGCAGGATGGTAACCTTCTTTGGTTTGTGGTTAATTGCATTCGTCAAACCCCATCAAATCCCATGAAAACCCACCTTAATCCCATTGGAATGGTGCATCACTTGTGATGCTAAAGCATAAGAGATAAATTATGATGATTTTCTGATCATAACAACAACGCAATGCTTCGGAGTATATGACGCAACCCATATGTCGGTGGAAATTTTCACTCGTCTAGCTGGGTTATTTCAGAAGTGCTTCTCACTGAAGCGTTTGTGCTTGGTCCGGCACTGTCAAGCACCAGTTAATGTAGGCTGCCTAATAGTAACCCCCCCTAAATAAAATATTTTTTTTAAAAAAATAGGGGGGGTCAGCATTCCAATAGTAAATTTTTGGAACCTTATAGCGGAAGTGGACATGGAAGTAGGGGCAGAGGTGGTGGAGGCGAAGGAGGAGGACGAGGAGGAGGAGGAGAAGAAGGAGAAGAAGGAGAAGGAGAAGGAGAAGGAGGACAACAAAATTGGAGTTGTGGAAAAAAGTTTCCATTATTGCCATGCCTGGTGCAGGTTTGTTATTGCTTTTCTGGGGCTTGCAAAGGGGGTACCCTCTGTGGACCTGTTTTCTTGCTTTTTTTAATAAGGGTTTTATAAGGAAATCAGCTGTTTGGCAATTGGATCACATTTCTGGAATCTAAGCTTTTGCTAATCAAAAGTGAAGGCTGCTTTGAAAAGGATTTGCTTTACTTGACTCTTTTGGCAATACTAAAAGTAAATGGAGCTAATTGACTTTTAGTATTGGAGAAAAATTGGAGTTGGGAAAACAGTTTCCACTATTGCCATGTTGGGTCCACTATTGGCCATGCCCTCTGGACAAGGTCTGAACATGACTCTTTTGGCAATACTAAAAGTAAATGGAGCTAATTGACTTTAGTATTGGAGAAAAATTGGAGTTGCGGACAAATGTTTCTATTATTGACAAGATATCACTATTGGCTAGACAACATTATTGTTCTCCCCATTTGCGGATGGCTAAACTAGATGAAAAACCATAAGTAACCATAACTGACAATGCATCCCATATCACATGTCCATCAATATCCCATCAGTGAATGATATGAATGGCGATCAACCATTTAAACCATCACTCCGCCGTGGAGTTTACAAAATCATGAACATAATTATCTTTCATTTATCCACCGTTTTTGCTGCTTAAGTCTCCATTTTACATGGTAAAACCGATCTCACAGCCACATGACATCATGAGAAAGAACTTCGGCTATGGCAAGACATGCATAGTGTGCAGTGCCAATGAGATGTCCGAGAGGTACTTCTTATGGCCACCTTACTATCAACGGCAACCCATTGTCAACAAGGCATTCTCTATCATGATGGCCGAAGAGGGGCACAAGATCGAGGATCCACGCGAGAATTCCGTGCAGTTCCTCAAGGACATCACCTACGCCATACCGGGTGGCCAAAGACCACTTTGGTTCAAGCTCCATAGTGGACACTAAAATATGTTTAAAAAATTGCGACGATGTCAGGACATGCGTTTGGCTGCCCAATGTTTGGAGCAGCCAGCTCAGCTGCTGTGTGCACCTGTGGCTTCTTTGACCTCCAGGCCGCGGTCTCATTGCATAGCCCTTCGGGCTGTACTTCAAGGATTGTGTTGAAGCAAGCCGTGTCTGATATGTTATTGGTCCGTCATTCCACTGACTTTGTGTCTGACGATGCTGCTGGGTACTTGCGCTAATCCTGAGGATGCTACGGTTGGTCTATGGACCTTCTGATTGGACACGTTTTCTGGCAAATTCAAAAATCAGCCACACCTATAATCTGTCCACTCATATGTTTTTCATAGACCCAAACAAGAATGCAGTGTCTAAAAAAGAATCCTCGCGTTAAATACCTCCCATACTGGCCCCCAACGGGTCCCCAATTCATGAATAGATTCTACGTTTAGGTTTTCTCTACCCACCCACACAAGTGAGCACAGCCACTAGTCAAGGCTGCCTCTACTCATGTGACGCGTGCACCTTAAGGGCTGTGCACCTCCTTTCACACTCCCCCCAACCTGCTGACTTCACCTGGACAGCAGGTTGCACTAGAGATAAGGCCACAGCTATATGATCTATTTTCCTTTGCCAAGGTCGCTTATTTCTTTTCTGCTCCCCGGGCTGCGGCAACTTGCAGGTTCTTGTGTGGAGAATCTCTCTTTATCCCCGGCTGCAAAGCCCCACGTCTCCAATCCCCGGTGGTGGGCCGGCTACGCAAACCTTCCCCTCAGTTCAGCCCTCCACCTGGCGTTAGCCAAGGCTTCTGGCTTTACCAAGGTTCAGGCGCGCCCGTGCTCGACACCACGCCAAGGACATTCCACGATGCACAGGGGCCATCAAGGACCTATCATTGCCTTGACTGGCGTGAGCGTTGGGCTCATAACCTACGTTTAGGTTTTCTCTACCCACCCACACAAGTGAGCACAGCCACTAGTCAAGGCTGCCTCTACTCATGTGACGCGTGCACCTTAAGGGCTGTGCACCTCCTTTCACAGATTCAATACCTTCCACCTGCGATTTGATGTTTTGGGTTGTCCAGATCATTCTAAATCGTAGTTTTCATATTTTTCCAATTGTTTCCAATCATTGTATCCCATTCCCACTAGACTCACTGGCTTTTGCCATGTTTTGCCCAGATCCATGACCCAAGGTTTGTCAACTTCCATAGCTCCGTGCAGAAATCTAAGGAGGACGGTGGGTGGGGTGAAAAGATATGGAAACATCTGGCGGAAAAAATCAACCAAAGATCTGGCGATTTCCAGCCCGAAATCTCGAAAGGGGATTGGGTGACAGTGAATGGTTTATTTGCCAAAGAGTTAGGGCTTTTCGGGCCCCACTTTGCTCGTGGAGATTGATTAAAATAAACTCTTCCAAAAGCACACCCGACCAATAGATGGCTAAGATGCGCCTTCATTTTGGGATATTTTGGGCAGTTCAGCCCCTAATGTACTGTATCCTAGCTGTTGGCTTTGAAGGTTATTCCCATCCCCATTGCATCCCTCAAAGGTTCGTGTGATATACTTCCAGGTTTTGCTGATTAACCCTCCAATTTATTAGCCATTGATACAAGGTGGTTTCTCCGAGTTATAAGTTGACCTATAAACCCCATTACTTAGTTCGATATATCTACCATAAACTTAAGCCCAAAATAAGGTATAGATCAACTGGGCTAGTTACATTTACGAACTCGGTTTCAGATCACATTATATTAGTTAGTTATCCTCTTGTCAACTAACATAACTGTGGAAAATCACCATTTTCCATGGATAAATCAACTATTTCTATGGCCATTTTCAATAGCTATGTTAAATTACCAGAGGGTAGATGGGGCGTCATTTTTGTAACCGGGGGTCTGGCTCCATAAATCCCCATGATTTCTCTCCCGCACGCGCCAGGACAAAGTAGAGGAGTTCGCCACACCCTCCGCGATGTTGGCCCCTTGTCGAAAGGGCGAGCTGCCTCGGCTTCCTATGGGGGCACCAGAAATGCTAGGGATATCATGGGTATGGCTGGGGTTTAATGGGGATACCAACCGGGTAATGGAATTCATTAGTGGTTAGTAATATTGTGATGAATGGATATAATTGAGGATATTAAAAACACATAGTTGGGACATTCTGGTATTAATACCGGGAAGCAAAACGATTTTTTTTCATGGATTTGACCGTCATATATCGTGTCATAATGGAAACATAATGCCTTAGTCAACCACCAGTACTGAAGGTATCGCCAAGATATTTGGGTTCAATCAACTATGATAGGGATAAAGCCCATTCCCCCTAATATTAAACACACCCCCGGAACGATGGTTTAGTAGGGGATGGGTTGAACCAACAAATAGCTCGGATCTTAGCGAGATCAACATGAAAATTCTTGGGGTTGGTGGATATTGGGGAAATAATGGGTGTATTTTCATTCTTCCGCTACTTTAAGGGAACCTCGTGGGTGAAAAACGGGATAATTCACTTATTTCTTTCAGTACATCGAAGCTTGGCACTTTTTTGGGGGCAAATGAAAATGTGATTTCACCACAATTCGTTACTGTCATGATTAGACAGAAGTTGGATTGTCCAAGGAAATGTTTATTTCCAGGTTAGAAATGATTCTTTGTTTCCCTGATTGATTGTTGTTCCAGATTCCACACAGGGTGTTCACAGACTGTCCTCGATATGCAAGTCGATGGTTCCAAGTAAACGTACCCAACTTGTTACGTCCGCAGTTCTGTTTTCCCACAAGATAACCTTTCCCAAATCGACAGTTGTGTCAGTTGCAAATCTGTTCAATTAGGTTGTAGGCTGGGCCCCTCAATATATCTGGTGGCTTCAAACATTTGATTTTTCTTCGCTTCGTGGTGATGTTTGCGCACTGTTTACCTATATGTCACATCTCATCTCCACTTGATCAATGAATGGGTTGGTTTGAGGGAGATCTTAGAGGAAAAGCAGAAGTTTTTATTCCGATTCTTTGATGATTTCGTTCAGATCTTCCTATCAATCAAGTTTTTTGATTTTTAGATGTACCATACACCATTATATACCATTTAACATTTTTCCCACTGATATACCATTACTAAATCATATAGACATTTAGTTCAGGGATTTCCCAGCCAGCCGGCCAGCCACGTCTCCAAGAGCCGGCGGATCACCTCCAGTTCGCTTATCGATCAGTTGCTAAAAATTTGGTGATAGAATGGGCAAATTATATAATGGGAAAAATGTCCTTCGTGATAAATAGATTAATTTCTATATATATATAGTAATCATAGAATACAGGAGTTTTATCTACATAATAGTGATCAATCAGTATTGGTTGTGATGAATAGTGATTAACAGTGATTACCAGTGAATGATAGTGATTAATAATGATTGATAATGATGAATGGATTCATTAACTAACAATGATCTTGATTAATCATTAATGGCGATTCCCTTCTGGTGTCCTTTGAGATCGTTTTTGGCTGGACGATCTCGACGATCCCCATTGGGAATATCAGCGATCAATGATGGATTTTCCACTGCGATGTTTGATATCCCGAAGTACCATTGTCATAATTTTATGATACTGGTAATGATATGATACTGATATGATACTGATATGATACTGATATGATACTGATATGTGATACTGATAATGATTATATATTATGATAACACTTATTGAAACTGGAGCCGGGGCAGCGAGCTTTGTCACTCTTCCAAAGAAGGTTTTCCGAGCTTTGCCCCTTCCGATGAAGCTCTATTGGTCACTGATGCAACGGCCGCCCGGGAGATGTTCTCAGTTACCAGGCCCTTCGATTAGCGCCCTTGTCTTTCCTTTGGCTTCGCCCGGATCCCGAAGTACTACTTTGCTGATTTATAGACCTCTTATCTCACCTCAGTTCCCAACTTATGCATGGAGGAATCATGAAAAAAGCACTAACTGCGCCCACCATGTCAGCATATCCATTCTTCATAGCTTAAATCATGTTGAATCCCTTATTCTTGTGGTTAAATCACTGCAAATTAATCGCCGTTAGTCACTATGAATCACTGTCACTAATAGTCATTTATCATGATTCACGGTAAATCATCATTTCTCATGGTGAAATCCTATTTCTGGTCTCGATGATTAATCGTGAGTCAACGATTCATCGATAAATCACCACTAATAGATCCATGTTAGTAGAATTTGTTTTTATAAACCATCCATTTTGGGGATGCCCCATTTACGGAAACCTCCATTTTCCTATGGTTTTCCTTTGGTTTTTCCCATGGCTTTGTTGGTTAAACCCCCATATCCCATAGCTAACTCCCAGCAACATTCTCCCAGCGACTCCAGCGACGCGTAGCGAGGTGGTGATCTTGACGCCTCATGTGCGGCCAAAGGCGGGGCAGCGCACGTATCGCCGTATGGGCCGGGGGATTTTCATGGCCATGGGGTTATGATGATAGGAAAACCAAAGGAAAATCCGATGAAATGGTGATTATTAAAACCGTACTATAAGGATGATAAGAACCATTAGATTATTGAAACCATAGGAATCTTGAATAAATAATCATTCAAACCATAGGAATCTGATAATCATGATGATTTAATGATGATAAAAACCGTTAGATTAGTAACCCCATGATAATGATGATAGATCATAAAATTATAATGGCATAGACTGGTATAGATATAATAGTAATAAACAACAATAATCAACGAGTGCTAATCACAATTAGCCTGTGGTTGTCAATAGATTATAAAATGATAATGATCATAAATTAGAAAATGAATAATATGCGTTAACACCTTCATAAAGTGATAACTGTTGATTATCCATTTTAATTTATCATCAGTTTTAAATTATTTGATGATGTGATGATAGTAAACAGCAATAACCAACAATGGATAATAGATAACGTAGTTTTTATTTTAACGAATAACAATCTATAGTTTAGAACGCTTATTGACAATAATCTATTAGTGTTTTTGATGACAATAGATGATAATGGATAATAAGCACCAATACGATAACTAAATGATAATGCTAATGATAGCTGTAGGCTTTATAATGGATTACTGTATATTGAGAAAATACAGAAAATGTAGGAACATGATGATAATGAAAAACCCTTCTGATAGTGTTATTATGCTATAAACACATTGCTCAAAATGCCCTGTTGGTCTTGTTGCTTGATCTTTTTTTGGGGGGTATGCCAGGTATGCCACCCAAGATGTTTTCTCCATGGTCGTCATCCATTATGAGAATCCATATTAATCAACCACCATAGCCAATGGAATGACTCAGTTTTTTGGGTGCCGCTCATGACTTTTTATCCATTGATATGTGGTGAGTTTTTGAGCTGCTTTGTTCAAAAAATGCCATGAGTTATTGATATTTGATCTAACACTAACGGTCAGCTTTGGTAAAGCTCTCATTAAAGTGAAATTTTCTTTCTAGGAAAAACATGATATCAACATTGTAATGATTCACTAACAACACAACCATTAATATTATCAATCTGGTCCACATTATCATTATATTATAAACAGTATCACCGAAGGAAGTTTAGAAGTCAAACTTCCGACAATATGGACAGATGAAAAGCAGAGCAGGGAAGAGGCAGAGAGAAGAGAAAGATTAGAAGAAAGAAGAGTAGAAGAGAAAGGGTAAGAAGAAAGAAGATGCAGATGCGCGAAAAGGTAGGGAAGTCGCGAAACACTGTGTTTTTCCAATGATTTGTGGCTCCGGAGGGTCGAAACGTAGGCTCGCTAAAGCGGCGGGTGCGGAGCCAGATGTGCAACTGGGCTGGCCAGATGAGAGATGAAAAATTGCACGCCGTTGTGGCGCGAAGCACATTTCGAAGTCAAAATGTGCAAAACATACCAGCTTCGGACCACTTTTACTAGTTGAGATGTCGAAAAAGTGAACGCCGTTGTGGCGCGAAGCACATTTCCAAGTCAAAATTTGCAAAACACACCAGCTCCGGACCACTTTTGGCAGTTGAGATGTCGAAAAAGTGCACGCTGTTGTGGCGCGAAGCACATTTCGAAGTCAAAATGCACAAAGCACACCACGTTCGGACCACTTTTGGAAGTTGAGATGTCGAAAAAGTGCACGCCGTTGTGGCGCGAATCGCATTTCCAAGTCAAAATGTACAAAGCACCACATGTTCGCGCCACTTTTGGAGGTTCAGATGTCGAAAAAGTGCATGCCGTTGCGGCGTGGAGCACATTTCGAAGTCAAAATGTTAAAAACACTAGGGGTTCGGTTCACTTTTGGAGGTTCAGATGTCCCTTCGCTTCGCTTCACTACACTACATTACACTACACTACACTACCTTCCACTACACTTCACTACACTACACTCCACTACACTACAACTACAAGTACAACTACAACTACACAACTACACTCCACTACACTCCACTACACTCCACTACACTAAATTACACTACACTACACTACATTACACTACACTACACTCCACTAGACTACATTACACTACACTCCACAACACTACAACTACAACTACACAACTACACAACTACACTACACTCCACTACACTCCACTCCACTACACTACACTCCACTACAGTACATTACACTACACTACCTTCCACTACACTCCACTACACTAAATTACACTACACTACACTACACTGAATGACACTGCACCACAGACAGACAGGTAGACAGATAGACAGATAGATAGATAGATAGATAGACAGATACACAGATAGACAGGTAGACAGCTAGACAGATAGACAAATGAAAGCGAGAGAGATAGATAGATAGATAGATCGATCGATAGATAGATAGATAGATACATAGAAGATAGATAGGCAGGTAGGTAGATAGTCAGAGAAAGAGAGCGAAAGAGAGGAGACCTCAAGCACCTTTCGGTCCATCCCTGATTCACAACAACCAACCTCTCCTATAGGTCTCCTATTTTTGAAACTTCCGCCACCGCCTTGTGCGGTACTACTGGTATAAGGATGATCCATATTTCCACAATATCCCACAACAACTATCCTCTGGCGAGGCAGGTACTCACACTGGACAGGCTGCTAGCCAAGCAGTACAAGTTCGAGGACAGGCAGATACTGAGACTGTATCTGGTGGACCCGAAGGGTGCTAAGCACGCTAGGAAGCTCGAGCTGCTGGGTGCCACAGTGATCACGGAGCCGATGAGGTGGTATCCGCGGGGCGGACTATCTTCTGGCACGATGATGCCAGGAGCTGCTCGGGCGATACCCCGACAGAAAGAGAGATCAAGGCCGATACTATCTGGAAGGCCAGGGTCAAAGGGATCTTGGAGCCGAACCTCATCGGCGTCAGCCTGAAGTTCCACCCCGCGAGGCCCACCATTACATTAATTCCTTCGAAAATAAATCAAATTAATCCCATCAGCCTTTTATCGGATCAATATGGATCAATGCAACTAGTTTGAGTAACTAATTATAGACTTTAACTATCCCACAAAAAAAATGATATCATGGACCACTATCCAAATATCAGTCACAAATGATAAATTATAACTATAACTATCAATATAGATTATCACTATCAACACTGTCCAAGATTATAGATTATGATTATTACAGCCACTATTATCGTTGTAGTCACTATTATAGTCACTATTATAAGTATAACTATCAATAACTATCATTATCGCTATCAACACTATAATTACCACTATCCAAATATCAGTCACTATCAATATAGAGTGTCAATATAGATTAACTGAAATTATTATCACTATCAATATGACTATCATTATCTTTCATTATCTATCATTATAGTTATAACTATCATCACTATCCACAACTATAATTATCACGTTTTGTCAGATTATCATCACTAATAATAACTATAATTATAGCTATCACTATAAATATCCATTGATCCCAAAAAAACATCCACTGGCGAAAGGCGGGTCCTGCGGCCGTGCACATCTTGCGGAACCTCGAAGGGGGGCCCGAGGAGGACGGGGGGAGGCGATGACACCCAAAAAAGGTGGCCCCGTTGACTTCAAAAATGTAGGAGAAACTATAGGAAAACCATGGGAAAACCAGGAAAACCATGGGAAAATGGTGATTTCACCAACAAAACCACAGGAAAAGCATAGGAAATCTTCGTAGGAATTTTTGGTGATTTGAGACAGTTTGTTTGTAGCTGATGATAGCTAAGTTGGTGAACATGACTCCAATCACTATGGTCTATAGGGGATATATCTATACTTAATGTGGTGGAACTAAACCAACTTTTAATTTGGGAAATCCACCATTACTGGGCATAGGGATGTTCTGTTTTGGCAACCTAAAGCAAATCCAGGTGTATCACGTTTTCTTTTCCGGGTAAAAATTGTGTGTTTTATCTGAGAGGATTTGAAGTTCCTCGGCAAAAAAAATGTGATTCCAGCAAGAATGAACCACCAAACATAGAGGTTCCACCTTTAAAGGTAGACTTTGGGATTAATCCAATTTAAACATGTAAAAAGTAGGGGCATGAGGATTTCGTTAATTCAAATGGGGATGTTTGCAGACAAGAATTGTGGTACTCATATGAACTGGGTTTTGTGGTGAAGGGTATACGAACCATTACATTTGAAGCAGCAAACCATGGACAAATATGGACAACTGTAGTTCAGAACCAGCAAAATGAATTAAACCTTGCTGAAAGATAGTGAGATTAGCCATGTAAAATGCGTGTTGTTCATAGCACACATGGAGAAACTTCGAATGAGAACCAACAATCAATGGGATATCACCCCATCAAAGCAGGCGAAGCAAATGAGAACGGAATCAGCAGGCAACATGAAAAAAAACAAGTCAGGTCAAACACATCTCAGTTGCCCATGACAATAACTTTAGGTAGGCAGCATAGGTCTAGCTTACCCATAGCCATTTTGTTTCATGCTGTCCATCAACTGCTTCCGAATCCACACAATCCGGTTTGATGAAGCTTCACCAGCGGGGCGCCTTGCAGCACCGGAGGCATTCCATCCTGAGATGTAGGGGCACGGATCTATTGTGATAACAAAATCAGAATCTAGGTGCATCCTGGTGGCATCCCTTTCTTGTTGGTCAAGGCATTGATGTTGGGTAAGTTATCACTTTTTTTGACCTACTCAATTGCTGCTTAGATCTGGTCCGAAGCTGGCTGTGGCTTACGCACACCTGGAACAGAGGCTATCTTGTCGGAGCTTGGGTCACTCAAGCCCACACATTTCCCACCAAAATGCGCATGTGCTTAGTCCCCAGTCCGATTAATGACATGGATTTTCCAGTTGAAAACCCATCATCCCAATGGCTAAGTCCATCTATACCTAGAACCTCGAAAGCGTGCAAAAATATTGCTCTTTCAGAATTATGTGCTATTTTTTTGAAACGGCACTTTTTCTGGCTGCGAGCACTTTTCCACTTTAAGATGGTTGAACTGATTTTTCAGAAATTGACAGTTTACGTGAGTCTTATTGCTCCAACGGACCTTCTGAGCTCCAGAGAGTGCTACCTGATTTCGTTTGCGCCCGTTTGTGTTGCCTGGTATTGTCAATATCTAGTTTTTGATTGGTTGGGTGTCTGGAATGATTGTGCACGAACGTTCCAGCATTATTAATGAAACAAATAACTCATGAATTTGAATGTAATATTGAAAAACATGAAAAAGATTGAAAAAGCGCTTTTGCCCGGTGAAAAAGCGTTTTTCCCTGCGAAAACGCGTTTTTTCCCGTTGAAACGCCTTTATTTTTTGAGGTGCATAAACCATTGCCCTGGAAGAACCAAAGTAACCTATCTACCGGCAATGGGTCCTTGGACAAGCCTCATTCGAATAGTTTAGCGTTAAGTAACCGGACAATGATCTTGAACTCTGAGAGTGCAACAAAGTTTTGTCAAATAAATTGCGTGGCAGTCAGCATGTTCTACATCCTGTTCCTATGAGGGTGAAGGGTCAGGGTCAAGAGCAGAATTCCACGAAACGACTTTTTTTCCCCTGAAACGATTTAAATTTCCTGAAACAACCATTTTTTTGCATTTTCACGAAACGCCCAAAAAAAGCAGACCATGAGGATGTAGGTATAACTCCCCTGAATTCGGTTGTGTTTCTGGTTGAACCCAATCCAGCATGGCCAAGCACCTTTTTTTTTCCCAGTCCAAAACCCCCACAAAAGGCTAAGTCCCAAACGAAAGGCCCGAGTCCCAACATCTTCCCATAAAAAAAACATCATTTTATATCATCTTCTCCGTTTTTTTCAAACCATCCATTTCAAAATCGCCATCAAACTGTCGTTTTTCGGCCATCCAGCGCCGCAGGACGGGCAGATCTTGGAGAATCCGTCCTTCCACGAAGTCTTGGCCACCAGCGCGGGCTTGGCCAAGGGCCGGGAGTACAGCAGCGCCAGTGAGGTGGGCCGAAGGGGCCGAAGGGGCCGAAGGGGGCGAAGGGGAAAGTGGGCTGTTCCAAACGGGGAAAAGTGTGTGTTTAGAATGGGAAAATCATCTATAATTTGGGGAGAGATGATGATGATTTAACTAACTTAATTTGGGAGATTGGGAGATATTATGATTTTACTAACTACATATCGGATAACCACTAACTAATATGGTTCGTGGGCTGATATATCGAACTAGTTCTTGGTGTTAGTTATGGTTTTTGAACCATCACATAGATATATCCCAATAGAATCAACTAGGGATCCAATCCCACTTAGTAAGTTGAAAATTTACACACATAGCAGGGAACATCATCTATCACTACTGGGTTGGTGGTTTGGAACATGAACTTTATGACTTTCCATATGTTGGGAATTTCATATTCCCAACTGACGAGCTCATATTTTTCAGAGGGGTAGGGCTCAACCACCAACTAGACTAGGACATGTTCCTTTGCCATGTTTGATTGCCAGAGGTTAGCCACCAAATGCTCTCCGGTTGGAACCGTCTCGTTGAATCCGGTTCCTAAAATGGGGAGTATCCCAATAGCTGGATGGTTGATTTCATGGAAAAACACCTACTAAAACGGATGATGACTGGGGGTACCACTATGACTTAGGAAACCTCCACTTCTTTGTTGCTGGAATCCCTACACCTGACACAGCAATGGCATGGTTCCTTGCTTTTCATCCCACCCAACTCACCCGGAAATCAGGTGGGAGCCGTGTTGAAGTTGCCGGCGGATGGAAAAGATTTGTTGGTCGTTGGGAGCTGAGCCTATGGAAACCTCAGGGGTTCAGATTTCAATGACAAGCTCTATTGATAGGGGTTAACAGAACCATTAAGCACATTGGGCAAAATGATGTTAAGGGTTGAGACCTCACAATGAAAAATTACAGTTACGATAGAGGAGACAAATGATCGTTGATGGTGAATGATGTTGGTGAATTCTGGCCACTTGGATGGATCGGTTGGGGCTACCCCCAGTCATCATCCATTGATAGATGGATTTTCCATGAAACAAACCATCCAGCTTTTGGGGTGTTTCTCTGGCTATGGAAACCTCCAAATGTTCATCAAGGGATTACCCCCCTCCACGCATCCTGCAGAAACGTTCGGTTGCGTATGTTGGGCTTGTTGAGGGCAGAAGTCACTCTTATCAGCCCCAGACCGCCGATTACCCCCTCCCACCACCCCGTCAGAATTGGCAATCGTGCCGCATCAATTGGCATCTTTCCATGGGCATTGCATGGGATGTAGCTGAAAACGTCTGGAAACTTCTGATTTTTTGAGGCGCCCTTGTTGAAACCTCCGAGACCAGAGTGGCAGTTTTTCATTTGTCTTCATATGCTTCATCGAATGCTTTTGCTGAGCTCTGTGAGCGCTGGCTCCAATTTTTGGCCACCTGCATTGAACATCGGGTAGATTCCTTGACCGGAGACGGTAATTTATTTGCACAGAGGACCTTCAAGAAAGATGAACACTCTGATTTCCTGGTTCGCTCCTGCGGGAGATGTCCCGGGCGGCGATCGGTTCAGGCTTCATAAAGTAATTTTTCCTTTATAGATTATGGACAATGCCGAATGGCGTTTATTTCAAAAACCATGGAGCTTGGTATGCAGCATCGTTTGCTGGTGAAATCCCAGTGTTTCCTGATGTTTGCCGATTATCTCCCCAGTGTCCAAAAGAATCGATGTCTTCAGCGTCCAACCAGTGATGATTACCATCCACAGTAGTTTGTACATGATGATTTCTGGTATATATGATATTGATCATATAAGTAGTATATTGATGATCGTTAGTAATTTATGATCGTTGCTAATTTATGACATGTACTATACCTCTACCAATTAGTATATTTATGATCCTTTATGTACGTGCTGAGAGCAGCTTCCAACAGGTCCTGAATCATCACGCCACAACTCGATTAATGCAACCCCCTATTTCTATCCTCATCTTATGGATGATGCAAACCCCGGGGTTTGTTGAGTCGTTGTTTCTGTCCATTTTTCCAATGGAAAATCCATTACTTGATGAATCTATCATGATTTTTCGAAACTGTTTTTGTTTGCCATCTCAAGCAGCTCTAAGTATAATATTCCAGTATTTGTGGAACATAAGGGGCTAAACCATAGCTCAACTATGAAAAATAGATAGATCATGATAGATCAGGCTGAAATTCACAGTGATGGCCCAACTAACAGTTGTAAATTGGTTTCCCAAAAAACTCAGGATAACTCAGGTCAGGTTATGCTGACTTTTAGCCCATTAAAACAACTGTTAAGGGCCATTGTGTTGGTCATGTTCCATGTTTCACCATTCTTATAGGTGGTACGTTTACCATTCCCAGCCATGGATGGTTTATAATATTGTTTTGACCGCACTGTACAAATGTTCCACAAACAATACTGTAAACCATTATTAACATCAACATCAACCACTATTAGATCACTATCGTCAGATAATAGATATGTGAATAACATTTTTCATAACCACTATGAACACTATTAGATTGAGGATACTTAACCACTTTTACTTAACCACTATTAACCACTATTAGATTGAGTGTTTTAATAACCATTTAATATCCACTAATAACTACTACACTATCACGTTGAACCCCCAGTCATTTTCCAAGCCACGTTAAGCTGGCACCTTTCTGAGGTGCCCAGCTTGAAACGTCCTGGCGACCAGGGGCGCTTCACCATCTCCTTCATGTCCACGCGGGACCGGAAAAAAATAAAGCGACGTGGAAATCACTACTGAAATGGTGATTTTTATTGCGACATGATGAAAATTGTTGTTGGTTAGTTCGCTAGTTAATAATGGGAATATATGGGAAATAATGGAATGATATGGAATGAGAATGGTTAATGATGATTTAGCATTCTTAATGATGGTTAAATATATTCAATTATGGTCTATGACTATGACTATTAACAATGACGAAGTGGAGGTTCTTAGTCATGGGGGATCCCCAAGCCACCATAGATTTCAATATTCACATGATCATCCAGAATTGGATGCTTTGGGGGTACAACCAATCTAGGAAAGCTCCACATGAAGGGTGTTAATAAGGATATCTTCTGGTGATGGCCACATCTAAAACAAATGTGACCGGGAATAAAAAAACATAAAACCATATTTTTGGATATTTTTGGGCTGTATCTTCTTGCGCCTTCTTGGGCCCAAAAAAAATATATCGACCTTGTAGGTATGTGGTCAGTCCAAGACATGGATATCATCTATGACCGGATGCCATTTGGGACAACCAAAAGAATATGATATACCCTCTGGTAAACTAACATAGCTATTGAAAATGGCTATTTATAGTGGATTTTCCCATTAAAAATGGTGATTTTCCATAGCTATGTTAAATTACCGGAGGGTAATTATCCCAAAAGGCATCATTTTTGGGGGATATACAACCATTGTTTGGGTATATACAACCATCTATTGGGATACAGCCAATTTTTGGGATATCATTTGGGATATACAACCACTTTTTTCATCTATGAAGAATATGAATCAATATGATACTAATACAGATATCTGGGGATATTGACTTTTTTAAAAAAGTGTGGTGGCTAAAAACCATCCATTGTGGGATTCAACAGGCGGCCGGTCTGGTTGAAATCCTGGATTTGGGGCCGGTGATGATGGCATTTTGTACATTGGCTTATGATATAAAGGGATATAACCGAAAAAAAACGTGCTCTGATCTCTGGCTAGAAATCTGAAGTTTTAGTGGATACTCCCAATTTATGCAACTCAATAGGGAAAATTATAGTCAACCACCAAACATGTGGCTATGGATCTTTTGGGCTATCCATAAATGATATTTGAGAGTCAAAAGTGGCCAAACAAATGTGATCACTGACAGGTTTTCAATGTGGACCTATCACCAAACGATGCCTTTTCGATAGGGGTTCTCAACAACTATCAATCCAAATTATTCAGGTTTATGAAAGCCCTTTTGGGGGGGTTTGGGGGATTTCCATGATGGATATGGGTTGAAAATTCAGGCCATTGTTAGCAAAACATCCCATCTGGATAATGCCTACCTTTAAGTTGGTGAACTATTATTGTAAGTCATATAGACAGATCTTGTTGTTCTCCCCATTAGTTCCTCATGATGTTTGGTCTGATACCAATCTGATCCAGTGATTAGCAAAAGAACGCCCCACCCAAAACGATACATAAATTGGTTGGAATATTCTCAAAGAACGAGGTTAGGTTATACAACTGAGGTTTATGGTTAGAACCACCTTCCTGTTATAGATATTTTTTGATTTGTTCAATCCCCGTAAATCCACACCTCGTCCTATCGCGACGTGCGTGCAAAAGCGATAGGACATTCAAGTCGAACGCATCCAGTGATGAGACGTTTCACCCTTCACCAAACGGTGACGAGAAGGGAATTCATTAGCTTACCAAACGGGTACCTGATATGAGAATCTTATCCAAATCTTATTCCAGTGGATATCAAACAGATTTGGTTGGTATCTTTGTAATACCATGGCTACCTGGTTGGCATCTTATCCAGATACAAGGTATTTGGTGAACATGACCTGTAAAAACAAAATCAAGCTCTTTAATTGGGCATCGCACGGGTAACCCACACGACATGTTATCCGCATCCGTCCAGTTTGCTGAACAGCAAGCCTAAGGCTCCGGCGAGACGGGAATTTGGCCGATCAGTTGGCCATATGAAAAATGCTGCAGGTGGAGGGTGGACACTGCAGACAAACTTAGAGAATTACAGACATGTTTTTGAAAGTCGATTCTATCTGTTTGGTGGTTTGGAACATGTTTTCCATATATTGGGAATAATACTCCCAACTGACTAATATTTTTCAGAGGGGTAGGTATACCACCAACCAGCTATTACTTTACCTACTTGATCCCATAAACTTGGATATATGATGTTGAAAAATGATGGATTGATCTTTGAAAACAGTAAGAAGTACATGTATGGCATGGAAGTATCCAAGGTCTGCCGTGGCGTGGAATTTGCCACAGATTAAGCTATGACTGGTTGGTACACTCAGGTAAACTAACAAAGCTATTGAAAATCATCATCTTTAATAGGTAAATCAACTGTAAATGGGCCATTTTCAATAGCTATGTTAAATTACCAGAGGGTAGATCATGGTTTCCGATCTTTTCTGAAATCAAAATGGCTTCCACAAGCAAAGTCGTTGAACATATCCATGGGAGTAGTCTTCTCAAAGTAGGTTTGAAATCCAACAAAAGCTGGCTACAGCACCATGGATTTCCACGCCTCGCTTGCTGTGGGACTTGGGACCTCATGGCATCAAAGTGGCATCAATAAGTGGCATCATTAAGTGGTCTTTTTGTTCAGCAAAAATCTTCGGCATTGAAACTAGTTTATAGCCTTTTTGGTATCCTTTTGGCAACGGGATTTGGGCATAGCATGCTGGCTGGCCAACGGCCTGCCGTGGCTGTTGGTTTCATCCTTGGCTGGGGTGACCCACAGCGAAGTTGTCCGTGTAGCTATGGAGCGAATGAAACATTTTTGCAGCACCAAAAGCCAGCTGTATAAATCCAACCAGCATTTTTCTTACAACAGTTGTAATGAAACATAAACTTATTGTAATACATCCAACACTCATCAACAAACAAAAGTTGCATAAAGACATAAAGACAAGCAAATAGATTGATCAAGATGTGCTGATGTAATCAACAATCGCACAAGTGGCCCTTTAACGGATTCAACGTATGATTTAATCCACCCAAAGCAACGGACTTCAATAGACCCAAAACATGACGAGACCTGACCTAGCTGAACCCAACATGTTGAAGCCTGAGCTCCGGTCATACCAGCCATTTTCCATTCCCCAAGTCAATCGCAGGGTTGAGACTGAAAGACCAAAGCCTATGACACATTTGGATTTGAAAGATTGGCTGCTTTAAAATCCCATTTGCTCTTTACTTACATTCTTTCAGTGGTTCAACGGCCACAAGAACCTGTTGTGATCTCTGTATCTTTGGAAAACTCTTAAGTTTTCTTCCACGAACAAATCTAGCCACGACTTGTGACCCCGTTACTTCGGCATCCCGGAAACGCGTTCGTTCCCGCCTGATGAGCATGTCCGTGCTGGAACTTTGGAGTCGGTCCACGGAGGTCAGAGAGTAATGTTGCTCTGCTGGGGGTCCCAAAAAGATAGAGAAGTTCTGGGTCAATAATGGTTAAGAATAATGGTTAATGTCAACCCTGGATTGATAAACCATAATAAACCCCTAGGCTGTTTAATTGTGAGGGTACCATTTAAGTATTGGATTATGACTATTGGAGGAGTACCCCCCTAATTAATAAACCATGGTTTATTAATCCGGGGGTGACATTAATTGTGGTTAATGATGGTTCATAATGTGGCAAACCAACTGCCATAAACCAACCTATTCATACCTATTCCTACCATGGGGGATGGCTCATACCACCCATCAGCGATGACTTGGGGATTGATGTTTGGATTTACCACATTAGTAATCCCCAAAAGGCTGGAAAAGTAATGATGAAAGTGCTTCCAGGACAAATAGAATATGATGGCTTCCCATCATGTTCTATCGGGTGTGCGATATCTATCTATTTTGCTTAAGATCAACTGTTAAAAAAATATGCCCTGAGATTCCTGATAGTGTCCAACTGGTTTTTCTGAGGTAGCTATACCAGAAATATCATCCATGGTTAACCATTGCAATGATATTACCAGATCGTATTCACCGCAAACCATTCTATCAGTTGTCGGAGCGGCGCCCAAAAATCCTTTACTCTATCATTCTCACCAGAATGACCGGCTGCTACATCTCAAATTTCAGTTCCGAAGTTGGGTTATAATAAGTTCCAATCTCCTTGTATATAGATTCTATAATAGATATATAATGTCCATAAACCCAAGTTATTGGAGTTATAAACTTGTCTAAGCCAGTTTAAGAACCCCTGGGCTTGGCATCTGGAAACGCAAAATGCAACAAAGATGGAGATGTGATGACAAAGATGGAGAAACACCTTAGGTTGGTTCAAAGTCGGACAAATTGCAGGGCTCCAACAGGCAGCTTCCCAATATCCAGGACTTGGAAGACTGTTAAACTCTGGGTTTCTTCAATGACCTATTATCGGTGTTTGAAAACTATACATCGAACTTACATCTATATTGGGTGTTATAGTTGGATAATTCAGAGTATCATAGATGTCTATTCAATTCGATGTTTGTAAACTATTCAGGCATCAAACATCGAATTTACATCGGTGTTTGGGTATTCACCTGTCCCCGTTCCAGTTATTTCGTGGATCAGTGGATATTCAGTCTCAATTCAGGCTGGTTGCTTCACCATTTTTCTATAACACATATATTTTATTATGTATAAATATTATATATATAAATATTGTACATATATTTTATATATAAATATTATATATATACCCCCAACAAAAACGTCTCTTCAATGAATTGGTTTCAGGGAAAAAAATATGGCAGACGGTGGTAGAACACCATTGGGATAAAACATCCCGACACCAAAGTTAGTAAGTTTCAGTTCCCCTCGCCCGATTGCAAACTTTGTAAATGGTTATATGTGTTGTACATGCTTATGAACAACAAAATGGTTGACCAAATAGTAGTAACCCATCCCAACTATCAACAAGTGGGTTTACACTAAGTACCTCATCACCTCATTTGACCTCATCGCGATGCATTTTTTGCTGGTTTTACCTCCTAATACTGTATTGATGGTCAAGTTCCGTTTAAATCCAATTGGCACTTTAAACAGTAAGTACTGTGGTGATGATTAAATTCCATTGAATCAAATAATGTGGTAACGGCAACTACTAGACCTACCATTTTCACTTGGATTGTTTCAATACCACCCATAAAAAATAGTGATTTTGGGGAAGGTTTATGGCATTGGGTTTACCACATTAATCATCAATAATTATTAAAAATCATGAAGAATCATTTATAATCATTCATGATAATTAATAATCATTAAGCATCATCCATCCATAATCATCCATCAAATCACTGTTAGGTATTAAGCACGATTCATCATTCACGTAATAAGCCAATGATGGTAAGCCGTGCCAGGGTCGTGGCCGTGCCGCGCTGGCGCTCACCGCGGTGACCTTTTGTGGCGTGCTGTTGGGGCACCAAGATCACTGGGTTAATGAAAACCAGAAACGGTTGGAAAAGCCATGGCTGGTTAAAAAAAAGAAAACCATGGTGCTATTGATGAAAAACTATTGAAAACTTCATAAAACTTCTAGGTTTTCTAGATTTTACTGGATGATTGTCGGGTTTACCACATTATTAGTGATTAATCGTGCTTAATAATGTGTGATAGTGATTTTATGGATGATTATCAATGGATGAGTATTAATGAGTATTAATGATTGTTAATGAGTATTAAAAAGTATTAATGATTCATGTGACAAACCCAATATTACCATAAATGGTTGGCATTGAGACCATTCCCAAACGGTAGTCGTTGGTACACGCATTAAGCAGAAAACTGATTCTTATGTTTGTTCTTTGAAGAGGAATGAACTAGTTTATTAAAGTCTAGGGTTATTTGATAATCGTATGAAATGTTTGAAAATATGTGTTAGTTTTATGAAATGTATGGACAACTACCTATATGGTATGTGAAACCCGCCGACAACAAATGATTTAAATGTTGATTATCGATATTTATGGGTTTGATGTGGATTCAGTAGGTGTTCAAATGCTTCTACATGTTTGAAGAATCAAATTGTAGGGGTCTGAAACACCAAAATCTGGGTGTGTCCCATTCTCAGGCAAACCCAAATGATTGGTACGTTCAAAGCAGTGACTTTCATTGTGTTTTTTGGATTTTGTTTGTATCTGATGAAGTTATGATATTGTTTATGTACTATGCCATGTTTGTCAACAAAGTTATGGGGATATACAAGTAATCATTTTACCGCGATATAATAAGATGTAATGGGATATACGTGCATGTAGTGGCACATACTGAGATAGAATGGAATGTATGACCCCAAACGATGTCATGTGGGTGTGCCTGAAACTGGTGGATACCCCATTCATGGCAAGTTTCATGGCAAATCTCGTGATCAACCTGGGGTCAGGATGGGCCTGCAAACAACTGCGGTAAGTTGGTTGAAATAATGGATCAACTCAGGTTTACTTCATAGATATACCGATATTTCCCGATGTAGCCATTTATAGTTTGATACTTTCACCTTTTCCATTGCCATCAACGGTGCCATAAACTTTGCTGCTCGCCGTGGCACGGACATCTGCCAGTAACGCAACGTGACCTCTGGAACCGGAGCTCTCACCTTTCTAGATACCCTTCGATCTGTACCCTCTGGTTAATGGGAATATCTATGGTTAATGGTGATTAATAGTGAATTAATGGCGATTAGTGGTGGTTATTAATGGCTAATAATA